CCCAACCCAGATTTTGTGTGTTGGTGCCTGTCTTCTTCGCCGCTGCTCTCCACCCTCTGGAGTACTGGGAGCTGTGCTAGACATGGCACTAACATGTGTCAATGCTGATTACCTCTGAGGATGGGACACGAAAGGGAAGTATGGGAAGGGTGTGGGTCACACCATTAACTCACAAATACTCTGTATTGCTCACTGATTGAGCAGTAGAATGGCATGTCTCTTCCTGAGGGAAAATCTGTTCTGAAGTTAAGGGCATCTGGTTTTTATTTGATGAAGGGAAAAAGAAACAAAATCTTAAATTTGATAATTAAATTTCACAACTGAAATTTGTACCTTGTGTTCCAAAATGGAGGAAGTGTTTATTGAGTGAGGAATCTCAACATGAAGAGAAAACAATATGTTGTACCCACATAATACTTAATGATGAATTCTCACTTAGGGAGCTAAATACAGGCAGTAGGGAGGGTGTGTGTGTGTGTGTGTGTGTGTGTGTGTGTGTGTGTGTAGCACTGGGCACTGGGGATAGGACCTTGCAGTGAGCTGCATTTCTAGCCTTTATTTCTTAAGACAGGGTCTCCCCAAGCCACTAAGTTGTCCAGATGGGGCTCTGACTTGCAGTCACTGTGCCTCAGTGCTGGGACCACAGGTGCGCTCCACCATGCCCGTTCATTTCACTTTGTGAGCTGCTGGACTTCTGGTTGACCTGTTTTTTTCTTGTCATATGTCAAGCACAGATGACTTTAGTACTTCCAAGAGGTGGAACTCCTAGCCCCTCCAAGTCTTTCCAAATCTCCAGTCCTCCATCCCTCACACATGGACATCTCACTTACGCATTCCACAAGGCGTTATAAACATCTGCTTCATGTTCCATGTCCCTCATTACCTTGGGAGTAACGACGGCAGGAAGGAAGTCTCCTGCAGCTTTCTGACGCTCCCATTCATCCACGGTTGTGGCACCTATTTAGGAATTGCAAATGCATGGCAGCTGGCTTGGAACCAGCATTACCTCCCCATTATGTTTCCATGAAAGTTTGTACTCGGAGATTTTCTCTAAATCCACAGAGATTAGGACAGCTCTCGGAGGTCAAGCTCCTAGATTTAAGCTGGCCTGTCTACTCTCAGCAGAGCAGAAGACACATTTATCTTGGCCACTCAGGGAACAGAGGGGGCAAGAGGAGGACAGATAACGAGAGCTCACTGCAGGGCATGCAGCCACTTCTTCCAGAGTAGATATTCTTCCTGTCCCAGATCCCACCCTCCCCTTAAACTCCCCATGAACTCTTCATAGGCTGATGCATAAATAGCTCCCTGAGTGTGCCAGTCAGTTTGGTTTCTTCTGTCAGGAGACAGGGCTCTACCCAACCCAGATTTTGTGTGTTGGTGCCTGTCTTCTTCCAGCATGTCTGCACCGGGAGAAGTCCTTAATTATTCAAGTCATCGACTTTTCACCTGAGTGCAGAGGCAGCGGCTGAATCTGGCCCCCAGAATTCTTGCACAGCAAAAGCAAGGGCTGGCTCACCTGAGAGGTAAGAAAATAAGATCACTTAATTTGGGGGTAGGAAAAAACACAAATGTTCTTTCCCCTGGAAGATGTCTGTGGGTTCCAGACACCACCTGGGTGCGGTGCGGACCTCACTGAAATTGATCCTCATGACACTGTGAGAAGTCAAGGTCATCTTCAAAGTGGAAATGAGGTTGTGATACAAGATCATACCGCTGTCCGGGGTCACAAACCAGTGGCAGACAAAGCTGGGCTGGAAGCAACTACAATGGATGTAATAGTTCCGTTCTCAGTCTTCTATCAGTGCATCTCAGCCTGAGATTCACAAAACTACCCAGGGGCGACTAGAATGAAAACTGGCAGATCAGAATCTGAGATGTCAGGGATTCCCATGAAGGGGCGTGCTTGCCCAGCCTGTTTTGTTTCTGTAGTTGGTGTGTGTGATTGTGACTCACGGTGGAAAATGTATTTATTTGGAGCCATGGTTAAAAATGTCTGAGGGCCACAGTGGAACACCATGCCACACCTACATCAGCTAGAGGTAGTACACTGGCAATCAAGGAAAATTATGAATACATCGTGCCTTAATGCTTGAAATAAATGCTTTCAAGTAACAAATAATTCAGGATTAGAGAAGTTATGAATCCTAGAGCCCCAGTTAGCAACTGCCCTCAAGCTCCTGGGGGCGGCAGAAACCATGTAGATCATGCTACGCCTCAGAATCTAGATGCCACTCGGATGTATCAAGTGTTTGTACCACTGGCTTAAAGTTCTGAATTACTTCCAAATAGATCGATGAAGTTTTAAGCACAGGCCATTCTGCAATGAATTTATCAGGGGTACTCTAGGACACCTGATATTACGCAAAATAATACAAATAAGCTACTATGGAGAAGGAAAATTAGTTCTGGGGTTAAACGTAAGGAAAATAGGAAAGACTAAGGACAAAGCAGGCCAGAGAAGGAAGTCGGTCCTGCGAGGGAAGGTCCACAGTAGGGAACTGGCAGGGAACCTTCAGTGTAGGGACAGTACCACCAGGGTAAAGACCTGGCCTGTGGCTCAGCATACTGACCAGCAGGTGACTTCGGCCAGAGCCAAGCACAAGCACCCAGCCAACAAAGAAGCTGGTCTGAAAGTATTCAGGAACAAACTGACCCTTGCCTGTACCTTTGTGAAAAGTAAGGAATTGTGCCTTCATACTTCTTTAAAAAATGTATTTTTTCATAAACTTTTGCAGTTTGACCTTTGTTTAAATGGGATCACGGTTCATAAACCTTCTCTTTTATTTCTGTGATCACTGATGCTGTTAGGTGCAATTCATCCACAAAATTTTCTCTATTATATACATGGACCGAAATTCATCTATTCATTGTACTACTGGACACCTGGAATATTCACAGGTTTTTCTTCTTGATAGTAAAATAGTGCTGCCATTAATATTACTCTCGCATATGGTTGAAGGCAAAATTTCTGCCAGCAATGTTAAAATTTACTGGATAATGATTTCGGAAGTGAACATTCAATTGAGACTCCCAGAAATGCTTCATGAAGGTGTTTAATATATGCTGCTCACAAAATATATATACTTGACCACTGTGCCATTGTGAAATGGTGTTTCACTTCATTTTATTTTGTTGTTGTTGTTCCCATTTACAAGCTTTGAGTTATTACTCTTTAGTGAGTACACATTTATGCCTTTCTCCCACTTTTCTACTGCAAAAGTCATTGCCACATCAACTGGTTAACTTCTTTATATAATTTTACATAGGGACCTCTTGCCACCTGCATGCATTGCAAATAATTTTCCAAGTCTGTGACTCTGAATGAGAATTTTTAATTTATTTTTTATTTTTGTTTTTGGTGGAACCAGGGATTGAACTCAGGCCCTTGCGCTTGCCAGGGAAACGCTTATTCTACTGAGCCATCTCCCTGGCCCCTGAATGAGAATTTTTAAACAGCTGGATAAGATTTAAATCATATGTTCTTTATTGTTATTTTCTATTTACCCAAGATCATAAATGTACACTTTGTAGGACTTTACTTCAGAAATATTTAACTTCCAGGTCTGGGAAAATAGCTCAGCGGTCTAAGCACCTGCCTGGCAAGCACAAGGACCTGGGTTCAGTCCCTGGTACTGCATGCCATTCTGGCCCTGGAATCCTGGGTGCCCTGTGTCAGCCACCAAATCCTGGCTGGTGCACACCTGTAATCCCAGCACTGGGGAGGCTGAGACAGTAGGATCACTATGAGTTCCAGCTGCATAGGGAGACCCTGTACCAACTAAAAGATTTTTTAAAAGAAATATTTCACTTCCCATTTATAGTTCTAGTTCAGTGAAAATTGACTTTTTGGTTCTGTGGTGAGCTGTATGTTTTGAATTTCTTTTTATTTTTCAGACAATTACCCAAGAACAATTTATTAGAGCCCACCCTCCCCCAGCCCACCCGACCTGCATGATGACCTACAATGCACATTCTGCCCCAAGTCTGAAGGGGTATGTGAGCGCAGTTCTGGACTTGATTTCACTCCTTCATGACTTACATGTGGAAGCTAATGTTCATGGAAGATGTTTAACAGAGAGACTCAACACCTGGTAATCATGTGGAAAAATGCACTCCCGTAAGGATGCAGCTCAGGGCAGCCTTTGGCTCAACACGGTGATGACACCTAATCCCTCTCCTTCCTCCTGTTTCTGTATCCTCCAGCCATGTGCTTCACTGTCCCTGAAGAGGCTAAGTTCCTTGCTGACGCAGGTCGCGTCTTTTATTGTTCTGACGTTTTCCTGATCCAACAGCAATGCTCTTCCTCCAGCCTTGTGTACCAAGAAGCAGCTGCCTTTTAGCTGTCAGATGTCCCGTGGACGACGTTCTCTACAGAACAACTGCCTTCTGCACTTGGATGGCGCGGTCCCTGGAGGTCGCCAACAGATCCAGCAACCAGGACTTCATCCTCCTGGGTCTGTCGGCTAGTCCGGGGGTCCGGGACGCCCTCTTCGCCACCTTCCTGGCCCTCTACCTGCTGATCCTCCTGGAGAACACGCTCATCATCTACCTCACCTGCGGCCGCCGCGAGCTCCGCAAGCCCATGTACTTCTTCCTGGGCAACCTCAGCGGCCTGGAGCTGTGCTACGTGTCGGTGACCATGCCCACGCTGCTCGCGGGGCTGCGGTCGGGCGCCTGCCGCGTGTCCTTCCCCGCCTGCACGGCGCAGCTCTTTCTGTTCCTGGCCCTCATGGGCACCAAGAGCACACTGCTGGCCTCCATGGCCTACGACCGCTACGTGGCCATCTGCCGCCCGCTGCACTACGCGCTGCGCATGCGGCCCCCGGTGTGCCGGGGCCTGGCCGCGGGCTCGTGGCTGGGCGGGCTGGGGGCGGCGGC